GAGTCCCCTCGGGCGGAGGTGGGAGTCTGGGGAGCTGGGGGCGCGGCAGGTACTTCGGGGGGTCGGTGCCCGCGGAACCGGCTCGCCGGGGGAGGAGGGGTGCCCGCGGGGTCCCTGGGGGTCGGAGGGTCTCCAGAGACCCTGGGGAACAGGGCGCAGTGGGGGGTCCTGGGAGGGGACTCCGTGGCAGCAGGAGCTCCGTGCCCCTGCTCGCCCTGGTGCATACTCTCGGTGACCAGGGCAGGCGCCCCAAGATGAAGCGAGCCGGGATGCTGCGGCAGGTCTCCGACTTCAGTGACTTCAGCCGAGGCCACTGGCTGCAGGAGCTGCTGTGCCAGGGAGAAGAGCCCAGCTGTGTCCAGTCCAGCCCCGATGGGCAGCACCTTTTGGTCCTGCAGAAGAGCCGGCCGCCCCCCCTGCCCCGGGTGGTGGCCTTCCAGCGTCACAGCATCGGTGGAGCTGACCTGGAGAGGAACTGGCAGCCGCCCCAGCCAGCCCTTGTGGGACTGCTCTTCCTGCAGAGCCCTGTGACATTGGGCTCCTGGGTACTGGCCATCGTGTGGGAACACGGCCGGACCGAGGTCTGGCACTTTGTGGTGGCCCTGGGCTGGCAGCTGCTGCAGACACTGGAGCTCTGCCAGGGTGCCCGGGCACGAATCATCTCCGTGTGCAGCCAGGGAGCCAGCCTGGTGTGGTGTGAGGAGAGGCCTCCCCTGGACGCCCACTCGGACATGAGCAAGTGTGCCTTCAGGTTCTGTGTCTGCACCCGGGCTCTGGAGGTGGGGGACCAAGGCGTGCGGCTGGGCACTGTAAGGATAGTCCTGCACAACAGCCCTGAGTACCAGGTCCTGGCCTCCCCTCAGCACGTCTTCCTGGTGCCTGTCGCTGCCAGCTTTGCCACCACTTCGAAATTCCTCCTCATCTGGCATCCCGAGAAGGCAAAGCTCACCATCACAGCCCCCTCTGCAGGCTTCATCCACAGCAAGGTGCTGCGCTCCAGCAGCGAGTCAGACTTCAGGAAGCTCCTGCTTGGTTCTGTGGGTCTTCTCTCAGGTTTGGCACCTCTGGACATTCACACCTCTGCTGTGTCCAACAGTGAGGGTCTGCTGCTGGTGAGCACGAAGGGTGCTGTGAACATGGTGGAGCCAGATGGGACGCAGAGGCATATCTTTGACCTGGAGGGAGGCCCCCTGGCCCAAGGAAGTTCTGTCCAGCTGAAGACCTTTGGCAGCATCCTGGCCTGCATGCTGGCTGGGGTCCTGTACCTCGTTGACCAGAACAGTGGAAGGCTCATAGAAAAGAAAATCCTGAGCATGAAAGAGGTGCATTTCCTGGAGTCCCTGGGAGAGGAGGACAGCATCCAGTTCCTCACTCAAACTGGCATTTACAGCTTTAGTTTCTCCAAACCTGAGGACAGCAGCAGACCTGAGCCGTGCTTGGTGGAGATGGTGTTCGAGGAGGCCTGCAGATACTACCAGAGAAGGAGCCTCAGCAGCTCCAAGCTGACGGTGGAGAAGTTGAAGAAAGGTGGTGTGTTCCAGGCTCCTGTGGCCCTCGCTGCCATCCTGCAGCACAGCCTCCGCCAGAAGCAGAAGCCAGCCCGAGGCCTCCAAGACACTTATGCCAAGCTGTTGAGCACAATGAGCCTGGAGCTGCAGAGCTACATGAGCCTGGAGCTCCTCAAGACCTGTGTGGTGTGTGCACCAGAGAGTGAGGTGGAAAGCTACTGCGAGGAACTGGTGGAGCAGGAGGTCAGCCGCGTTCTGCACTCTGACATGGACAAGGACAATTTGGCCTACCTGAACTCTGTCTTTGCCTCCTTCCCCAAGGCTGCCTGGAAGGCCACGAGGAGCTGCCTGCAGCTGCAGCAGAATGGGGACGGCCTCTTAGTAGCCAGGGCCACCCCGGAGGTGTGGAAGAAGGTCCTGGGAGGGCCACAGCAGGAGGAGGTGGGTCAGAATGGGGTGGTCCCACTCTTTGAGCTCATCTGCGCCTCCTTCCTGAGGTTCAAACCCAAGTGGTTGCCCAGTTTTGTGGAGCTGACCCAGCAGTACGTTAGCATCTCTTGGGCATACAGCAGCAAGGAGGGCCCAGAGGGCCGGGTGCCACTGTACAAGAGAGCACTGGGAGTACTGGCCAGGAAGAACAAGTGCAGCGAGGCGAATGATGAGATGGAGCTCGAACTGCTGCTCTGCAGCAAGAGGCCTAAGGCCGTGCTGCAAGCTCTGCACCTTCTCATCCGCCTGAAGCGGTGGCAGCGGGTGGTGGAGGTGGCAGAGAAGTTCTCCAAGCTCAGCCCCTTGCTTAACAAGGAGATATTCACCACGCTGCTGGCGGAGTTTGCCCAGCACCGGGAGCTGGACCCTTATCTGGACACACTGTGGCTGCTGTGCCCTGCAGAGCTCACCGCCTCGGACATCCTTACCGTGGTCCTGCAGCACCTCCCTCACTCCCAGGAGGATCCAGTGCCCTTCTCCAGTGAGGGGAACCAGCTGACTGTAGGCTTGCTCAAGCCGCTGCTGCAAAGGGTTGTGCAGCGTCCCTGTGTCCAGGACGAGATGTACTCGGATGCCTTGCAGAGCCCCACCTTCCCCCCTCCTACCCCACCCCGAGAGCACAAGATCCCCTCAAAAGCCGGGGCCGATGATGCCCCTCAGCCACCCATGGCAAGGACTTCCTCCCCCTCGGCACTGGTACGGAGTGACCCTGCATGAAGGGGAGAAGCACAACGGGATCCCAAGCCTTGGGTGCATGAGGAGGGGAAAGCTGCATCCTGCCCTGCCTGGCAGTATGGAAGCCTGCTCCTTTCTGAAGTCTCCCTGTGGCAGCATCTTGAAGAGTCCATTGGGTGGCTGGGGTTGGGGGATCTCATCTGAAGCCAGGGCAGGCTTTCTGGCTATTTCTAGCGAGTGCAATTGCGTGTGCCCCAGTGGAGGAGCAAATGCCGGGTGCATTTGCAGATGAAAGTGCTGGCTGCACTACAGGACTACAGAACTGCTCCCTGCCCAAAGCACTTTGGTTTTGGTTTGCTTGGCTCCTTTATAACCTCACTTCTATTTTCCTGATCCTCTAGGAGTGGTGGTGGAGTGGTGGGCAGGGACACACACGGTCTTTCCTTGCCCGTTCTCTGCTCAGTGGGTTGGGTGCTGCCTCCAAGCTCTGCCTGTGAGAATCTGGGAATATTTCTTGCAGTGGGGTCACTGAGTCCTGCTGCTTCGGGCTCAGTCAGATGCTAAGTGCCAGTGTGGCACAGCTCCATGGTACACACACTGGCAGCTGCAGCACTCTACATGCTGTCTCGCTGCAATTCCTCTGGGATCAATCCTGTAGCTGTGACTGATTGCAGCTACTTAGCTGAAGAGAGCAGCCTAATTCCCTTATCTCTCTATCCCAGACGGTACCCGAACTCTCTTCTGAGCTGAGAAGCTGGCAGCAGCCTGTGCGAGCTTGGGGCTGGCCCTGCCTCTCCCTTTCCTTTGTGGAAGCTTAGATTATGCTGCAGGACGCCCAAGCCCTCTGTTCCCATCTCCTCTACCTTTGCCCTTTGCACACAAAGGGGCTTTGTCAGGGTTGTCTGGCTCATATTGTGCCTCTGTTTGCAAAGTCAGTGTAACTTGAGAGCAGTTGTGCAGGAAGATCCAGGTTCCAGCCTCTCTCCGGTGCTCACTGCCTGGCCCCCTCCTCCAGGAGAGAGACCCCGGCTGTGGCTTTGCCCCAGCATGCGGGCTGTGGTGTGAAGGAACTGTCTCTTGCCTTGCCAGGCTAGCAGAGCCTGGCTGGGATGGGATGGGGGAGATTCACCTGCATTAGTCCTCTTGAGAGTGGGGTGAAGTGTGGAAGACTCCTTTTAAAAATAAAGGTTCCTAAAGCAGTGCTAGGGCGGTGGTGGATGTTTTGAGGATGCAGACCCTCAGGAGGAGGGCAGTTTCATTTTGCTTCTGGTGAAAAGTGGCCAAGCTCAACTCACTATGGTACTGCCCAGCATGGCTCACCACTGGTACGTGCTGGGCTTGGAGATCCAGCTGTGCCTGGACAGCCCATTCCCTCCGTGGTGCTCAGCCCGTTAACCACTATGAAGCCATGGAGGCAGGACTCTGCACCGGCAGGCAGGTGACCATCCCAGAAGGGCCATCCCGGGCAGTGCACGGTTCAGCAAAGGCAAGCCTACACGTTGCTGGGAGCAAGGAGACCTACCTGGGCTTCGCTCCCATCCTCTCTGCAGCTGCTTGGTGCCACAAGCACACCCCAAAGGCCGCCGGGGCTTCTTGTTGGGAGAGTTGTGGCTGGGCCCAAGACAGGGTTGAGGAAGGGAGAATTTTTTTCTCACAAGCTGCAACTTGTCCCTTTGTTCCTGGCTGGAAAACCAGCAATGGGGAACACCAGGCTGGCCCTGGCAGGAGCCTGCTGCCTGGGCACACAGTGGCAGAGCTGCTGTTGGACGGATCCTGGTTTGTCAAACCACTTTAAAGATGCGGCAGGGCCTCCCCCAGACAAGGGCTTAGCTGCAGAAAGTCCCTGTGGTGGAAAAAAGTCTGGCAAAGGGGAAGAGGAACTGCTACAACGATTCTCTAGAGGCTGGCTGGCTATTGATGAGGCCTTCCTTATGGTGGCCTTGTGCTGTGGCTGTGGGGCGCTGCGAGGTTCCCTCCCACGCAAGGGAAGTGGATTCTGGCAGCTGCCACTCGTGTGAGCGGAGGGAGCCTGGCCTGAGAGGAGAGCCGGCAGCAGCCACTGTGGGCATTTTGCAATGAGCCATCCTCACCTCTTCCCCGAGCAGCTGCTGGCCCTGCCTGACACTGCTCTCACCCACCTCCCAGGGCTGCTCAGGAGGAGGATGGACCCAGGCCCCTCTCAGAGCCACGGCTCCAGGGCCTGGGATGCTCCCCTGGGGCAGCGCTGAATGGGGAGCTGCTGAGAGCAAGCCCCATGCTTTGGCAAAGGCTGTGCAGTAATTTGGGGGGAGATTTTCATTGCCGGGGCTGGGTTTGGATGCAGGTGGCCACGGTGATGCAGCGAACAAGGAGGGTCGAGCTCCCTGCCTTCCAGCGCTAGCTCTGCAGAGAAGAAAAGGCTGCACTGGAGGCTGAGCAGAGGGGAGCAGGAAAGGAGCAGTGCCCGCAAAAGCAGCAAGCGGAAACTGAAGCCAGCAGCAGTCCTGCGCAGGCCGGTGTCCCCGAGGCACAGCAAGGGAAGAGGAAGCAGAGGATGCTGTGCGGTGGGGACAGTCTGGGGCTTGGGGATGGAAACCTCCACATGCAGCCCCTAGACAAGCACAAAACAGTCACAACTCGTGAGGTTGAGGGTTCAGGGTGAGGGAGAGCAAAGGCAGAGCAAGTGGAGACAAAACTGAGCTAAATGCTCTCCAAGGGAGTGCTGGGAAATCCCGCCCCGAGGACCAGAAAGGGTGGGTATCGCTGGGGGGAGCAGGGACTGAGCCACCACACAGGACAGTTTCAGCTGGGTGATAGGCAAGCACAGGGCTCTCTTTGCAGTCAGGATGGGTGCTGGGGGGGGGAGATAGCAGGAGGTAAGGCCGGTGCAGCTTCAGATAATGCCTGAAGGAAAAAAATAGTGATTAGAAGATCTGAAGGCAAATGGAAAAAGCGATAAAGCAGATGCACATAGCGAAGGGCGAGCTGGCCAGCTCGGCCCCGTCGCTCGCTCTGGAGAGACTTGGACTTTGCAACAAAGGAAATGAGTCAAGCTTCTCACGTATGTCCCCTGTGCCTGACCCAGCTTTCGAGATGGTCCCTGTGCTTGCGCCAAGGAGCAGTGCAAAGTAACACCTGCACTCGCCCCGCCATGGGTGTAGACCAAGTTGCCCTTGGCTTATCTGTGCCTGCAGCTCTCGCCGTGCCCATCCATGCCATGCAGCAGTGTGGGACATGCAGGGGTGGACACTGAAAGTCCCCGTGCCACCATACCCAGTAGAGGGAGGGAGGTGCAGGCTGCAGGCACACCATAAACCAACTGGAAACCCAGAGATGACACGTAGCAGGGTCGCCAGAAGGCACAGGGAAGTGCCTGTGCGCTGGGGGGGTGGCACCTCATGGTCAGGAGGCTTTTGGCATGGCTTTTCCCAGGGAAGGACCTGGCACCCACCCAGCCACAGGTGCAAAGGGCTGCCTGGTGAGGGGAATGTCACCGGTGACGCTGAGCAGCGGTCCTGCATCGACCCATGGGCTGGGTCAGGACTCCAAGAGCTGGATGTGAGCAGAGCACGCTTGGGGACCCCAGCATGAGCCCTCTAGTCCCAGGCACAGTCCCAGCTTGTGCCAGCAGCGGGGAGCCTTCCCTGCCCCTACCCCTGATGCCCTTCCATCGCAGCCGGACATGAAGAGCGCAGACACATGCCTGCAGCACACACAAACAGCCCATTTATTGTTTGACACCAAAAAATCACAGCCTTGGAAGCAGTCAGGCTCCCTGCAAAAATAAATAGTCACACTTTTCGAGCGAGGGGCCTGGGTGAGCAGGGTCCCACTGGCCGGCAGCACAGAGGCTGCGGTGGCATGGACAGTGTGAGCTGCCTTGAGCCCATGGGGTCTGGTGGGGGCGGGGCGGGGGGGTTGTGAAGTCCCACCTGGGGCAGTGCAAGGGGCAGCCCCCCTCCCACACATACCAGGGTATCATCACATATTGGGAACTGGTGAAGGGGTTTCAGCCTGGGGGTCCCAACCTGCTCCACAGCACCCAAGGAGAAGGCGCAGCAGACGGGACAGCTGTGTCCATCTCCTCCGTGCCCGCGCTGTGGGCAACAGGGGCTAATGCCTCGTGGACGGCCGGGGGATTTTGTAGAAGTTGAATGTGGGCGGCCTGCAAAACCGAGGTCACTTGTGTCACCCCCAAGCCACAGAGGGGAGCAAGGGACAGCCCAGGTTGCACTGAGAAGGCCAAATGTCATCCCACCCCTGTGGCCCAGCCCCACAGGAAAGAGAGTGTGGAGAGCCCCCCCACCCCGCTGGCGTGGGGGAGGCTGGGAGCAGCAGCACCCCCAAACTGAGGAGTGTGGAAAGATGATGGGGGGACCCCAGAACAGTCTATGTTGCACAGGTCCCACCTTCCCAGTCCTCCCTTGGTACCAGCACCCTCCTCGGCCTGCACTTGCCCTTGTTCCCCTCCTCGCCCCGCTCCCTCTGTGCCCTGTCCCCCCTCATGCCACAGGAGCATGTCCCCCACCCCACACGGGGACCTGGCACTGCTACTTACATCTCCAAGGCTTCATTCCTGGAGGGGAGAAAAAAGAGGAGACAGTGTCACTGGGGCAAGAAGACGCTTTCTGGGACAGCCCACCAGCCCAGCATCTCCCAGTGGGACAGTGTCTCCCCTGAGGCACACAAGGACACAGGGGGCTGGAGGAGTCCCCTCCACCCCGGCTGCCCTATCTGGATGCAGAGCACACAGTCCTACAGCCCCCCTGAACATTGCTGCCCCCATTGCTGCTCCTTCCCCAGGCAGGCAGAGTGGGGCCCCACGCTCGCCGGCTCAGCGGCACACAGCTCCCCCATGCCATGATTTCAGTTCCCCCAAGTTTCCCTGGCAGCTGAGCCCGTGTCTACAGCCAGCTCAGCCGCCGGCTGCAGGGGGAAGTGAAAGGCGCCATGGCCACTGGTGGGGACCCCAGGCACGCTGCAGGCAGGGCACAGCCCAGCTCAGCGCCACGTCCTGCACACACCACATACAACCCCAGCATGGGTCCTGGGAGAGCCAGGGCGTGGAGCAAGGAGGAGTAGGGCAGGCAGGGGGAGGAAGGCTGGCTGGGACCGCGCTGGGCACAGGGCTGCTGCAAACCCCGGCTGTGGCTGCAAACCCTAGGTGGCTGCAACCCTGGAGCAGAGGGGTGGCAGGTGGGGGGCTGGGGAATCCCTGGCAAATTGGCTGCACTGCGGGGCCAAGACATAGCCCTCAGCAGCTGGAAATCCAACTGGAAACCGCTCACTACCCTGAGGGGTCGGCAGCTGCGCTGGAGGTGGGGCTGCCGGTCAGAGAGCCCCGGAGGGATGGGGAAAAGGTCCCAGAGGGCTGGGGGGCAGCACCGGGGCACTGGTGTCCACGGGCAGGCGAGCAAGCACTGCACCCTCGTGGCAGTGACACCAACCCTGCAGCATGCTGCTTATGCACGGCATCCAGCTGTGCTCCTGTTTTGCGGCCCCAGCACAAAAAATGGTGCAAAGCCAGAGCAAGTCCCATGGCAGACCCCCAAACCAGGCTGGGGGCTGCAGCCCATGCCATGTGAGCTGGAATCCTTTCTCCGAGGGGGGTCACATGCACCTTCAGCTGCCCAAAGGGGGCTGCAGAGCAGACAGAGCCAGGCTCTTCTCCAAAGCATCTCCATTCTTGGAGGCTGAGGGTCCCAAGCCACCTCCCTGGTCCCCCCCTAGCCCGCATTACTTTAGGATCAGCCCCACAGGCTGCCACGGGGCACATGAAGGGGCAGTTCGCAGTGCGCGGGGGCAGACCCCAGACCCAACGTGGTCACAGGGGGCAGGCAGCTTCTCACCTGTAGTCATCGGCGATGTCCATGCGGCGGTAAAACTTGGCAAGTCTGACAGCCAGGATGATGCTGGGCAGCAGGAAGAAGGTGCACCAGCCCAGGCTGAACCAGAAGGCATTCTGGGTGCAGAGGGAGAGCTATCAGGGCCCAGACAGCGACTGGGAGAGCCTCTTCCGCTCCCAGGCCCCCCACAAAGACCACCCATGCACCCCTTCTCACAGCCTGGCCTTTGCTCTTAGCCACAGCAATCCGCTGGGGAGATGCTGAGCCATGCTTGCTCAAGACAGAGATGGGTACTTCTCATCCTGTGCATGAGGGGGACAAGGGGACCTCGTTGCCACCCCACACACACGTGTCACCCCACACACCACTGCCCCACTCACCAGAGAGTCCAGGATGTAGTCGCAGGTGATGGCCTCCACGTTATCCAGGGTCTGAGCTATGGGCTTGCAACGTGCCACATCTCCCGTCAGCTGGGGACACAGTGGGACAGGACATGTCAATGTCCCCAAAACCCTGCAGCCCGTCCTCCCTCTCCCTCCACCCCACCGAGGAAGGCTCAACTCACCCTGCTCTTGGCCCAGGAGATGTAGGTCTCAAAGAAGTCAAACAGCTCCTCCAGGAAGGCCCACGTCTCCTGGGGGAGGGGGCAAGCAGAGATTGGAGATGCTGCACCCCCAGCACTCCATGCGCCCCATGTCACCTCCATGTCAGGATCAGGGCTGTCAGACCACCTCAACGCAGCAGCAATGGGGCTGCAAGCCCCACCCTGCCCCGGCCCCTTGCCTAGGGTGCCATAAGGGGAGGGGGCACCCAGGGGTGCAGGGGACCCCTGGGGAAGACAACAGGGCAGGAAGAGCAGCCAGACATTGCTTAGCATCCCTGCGCAGAGGGAGGTCTTGGTGTGGGGGTCCAGTCACATCCCCACCGGGTGGCCTGGCAGCAGGGCAAGGCGAGCTCACATTCTTGATGATGTTTGCCGTCTCCCTCTCCAGGAACTCCTGGGTTTCGCTGGCTTTGTCCAGCGCAGCTTTTGTCTCTGCCTGGGGTGAAAGGTGCTCTCAGCAGTGTGATGGGGGAAGTGGGGTCCCCGCATCTCCCCCACCCTGCCCAGCAGCAATCCCTAGGGCGCAGCATCTCTGAGCTGTGGTGTCCCCAGCAGTCACACGCTGGTAGTGCCTGAGTACCTCGGGTGGAGGGAGCCTGCGCCTTGCAGGGTCCGTGGCATGGGACCACTCCCTCTGCCCCATGAGCAGCCCCTACAGTACATGCTTGGGGAGTCCTACAGCAGCCACCAGGCCCCCAGACTGCAGGTTAGCCCCCACCATCTCCATTGTGGGACCTCAAGGGCACTTTGCAGGGTGCCCCGGACTGGTGTGCGCTCAGGAGGCTCCCTTGTGCAGCTTACCTCGAGCTGGGTAGTCCCGCTCTGCACCGAGTAGATGTTCTCTTTCAGGCTTTGCTGGGGATGGAGAGAGGGGGGTCAGAGGCACAGACGCCACAGCTCAGCCGAGACCCTGCCAGCAGAGTCCGAGCTTTGGCGGAGCCCAAGCCAGCACCCCCAGGACCTTCCCCACCCAAGCATTGCTCACCAGCAGCCTAGACAAGCTCATCTGCATCTCCTTGTCCAGCTCCCTCAGCTTGCGAGCATCAGCCTTCAGGTCCTCTTTCACATTAGTGCCCTGGAGGAGCTGCAGTCAGCAGTGACCCCCGGCACGAGGTCCCTGCCCCACCACAGCCATCTGATGGGGGGCTGGGTTGGAGAAAAGAGCTGGGCGAGGGTGAAGGGCCTCGCCTCCCCTCAGCACCCAGACAGGTCTGCAGAGGAGCCCCCGCAGCCAGTGGCTTTGGGGACAGCGTGGCCATGGCCCCGGGGTGCTGTGGTCTCTCACCGCTTTGTCTGCCAGCTGCTCCAACTCTGCGGCCAGATCCAGGAGGCTTCCCTGGGTCACGTTCTGATCCAGCTGGAAAAGGCAGAGAACAGAGCCCTGAGACTGGGGACACAGGGCTAACGGAGGGCCGTGCCCCATCCCTGCAGGGTAGAGTGGAGCCAGGGCCTCCCGGGTGGAGGAGGTGCCCAGTTGCCCCAAGGGGTGACATGGATGGCAGGGGACACCCCGGGAGCTTGCAGTGGGACTCCCACAGCAGAAAAGGGGAGGGGGCAATGGACCTCCTCAATGCGCATCTGGACCCCCCCATCCCAACACCAGGCTGCCCCCAGCCCACCTGCTCCAGGGTGGGGGTGAAGTCGGGGGGCTGCCCGGCCCGGCTGGCATTCAGCAGCAAGTCTCTCTGGCTCTGACTGAGCAGCAAGATGGGGCTCAGGGTGATGTTCATCTTCTCAAAGGCCGTGGAGATCTCTCCTGTGTACTGCCAGGGCGAGGGGAGCCATGATGGGGCACAGTGCCAGCCCCTCGCTGTCCCCCCAGCACCAGCCCTGTGCCCCCAGCTCTGCCCCCCTGGACCCTGGCACTCCTGCACTCACCTGGCTGATGTTCAAGAGCTCGTCCAGGGACACGCTCTGGTCCAGGTGCAGCGTTTGCCACAGGGCAGCGTCTCGCTGGCACTGCCTGCAGGAGGGGGGCACGGGGCTGAAAAGGGGCAGGTGAGCACCTCCCCCTCCCAGGAGTGTGTCCTCACCTGCGTGGGCAAGTCACACCTTGCTCCTTCCCTGGCATCGGTGCCTGCCTGCAGCCAGGGCAGGTAGGGCAACCTGTCCCCATCCTGGGGAGCATCCGAGGGCGCCGAGCAGCCATATGCCTCCCCAAAGACACAGCACTGGAACTGGGACCCACCTGTACATCTCCGAGAAGTTTGCTGTGCCACCCTCCTGGCCCAGCAGCTCCGACAGGTTGAAGCCAGGGATCAGGCCGGGGGTGTCCAGGAGCTGAGAGCAAGGGAAGAGATGGAGAAACTAGACAAGGTGCAGGGCAGGACACCTGGGAAGACCATCCCAAATTGGCCAGCGCTGCCTCCTCTCCACCAGCAGTCCTTGGAAAGGCGGCAGTGGCTACAGGCAGGGGTGTCTCCCCACAGGGAGCTCACCTGGAAGAGCTGCTGGCTGCGCCAGGACTCGCAGATGAGCACGTAGATGTTCCCCCCCAGCATGAAGGGGATCAGCACCACCAGCATCAGCAGCCAGGAGAAAATGAAGCTGAAGCCGACCCCTCTGTCAGAACAGAGATGCCGTCAGCACCCGGGGTCCTGTGCCCCGGCATCAATGCTAGCATTGCCTTCAGCTCAGAAAGCCCAAAGCCTGCACACCCCTTTCCTCCCCCCGCAGTGCCAGGAAGCACCACCATTCCCACAAGCACGTCTCCACCCTGCCTTCAGACCCTGGAGCCCTGCTGGGCTGCACCATGGGGCTCGGACCCCGGCATGGCTTCCCCCAGCTTTGCAAGCCACCACCCACCCACAGAGCCACAGGACCACCCTTGCCAGGCCCCCGCCGGCAAGGGGTGAACAGGCTCCACTCGAACACCTTCTGCTGGCACCATGTTTTATCCTTGTGTTTACCACCTGCACAGTGAATTGCCATGGGGCAGGCCATTAAGCCACAGTGATTTGATGATTTAGGAGCTTGAGCATCCCCAGGCCAGCCCTGCCCACCCGTCCCAGCACTCCTGCACACGTCCTCGGCAGCCGAGGGAGCCTCACGCCATGAAGAAGTTCCCGCCGGCGTTGGAGAGGCTGCTGCGCTGCGTGGGCAGCACGCTTTCCTTCAGCCCCAGGGGCCCCAGCAGCAGCCCGACAACGTTACAAAGGACCACCAGCAGCACCATGCAGCACAGGAGGGCACACACGCTCCACCTGCGGCAGGAGGAAGAGCAGGAGTCAGACAGCAGGACCTGGCACCCTGAGCAGTGCTCAGCATCCCACCAGCTGCCTTCGGGTGGAGGAAAAAGTCCCCAGGCACCCTGGCAGGGCAGGGGCACAGGTGGCTGCAAGGCACAGCTCTGGCTACCCTGCACCTGCAGCCCTACCACCAAGCAAGCCCCCACCTCCAGCAACTGGAGGATCGAGAGCCTGAGCCTCTCTGGACAAGGGAGCCAGGGGATGCAGCAGCCCCTCGCCTACCTGAGCCCATCCAAGGAGATGATCGGCTCCCTGTACTCCTCCAGCACCGACATGGTGTTGTCCACGAAGGCCCCGACACTCTCCTCCACATCCAGGAGCGGCAACTGCTCCTGCAAGCTCCTGATCTTCTCCCTGATGAGGCCCAGCTGGTCCTGGGTCTCTGCAGGGGACGAGTTCAGGTTGGTGCTGCGAACTGCTGCCCAGGTCCTGCTTGTCTGGGGCAGGCGAGCCTGGGGCAGCGGGGACCCAGAGAGGATGGGAAAGGGGCAGTCGTGGCCAAGGATGGCATCAGCGTGATGGCACTTGGGGACAGCCGGGGCTGTAGGCAGCAGGGTGGCAGCAGGGGAGGTCTCCAGGCAGGGATGGGGTCAGAAGGGAGGAGGGAGCCCTGGGAGAGGGAGAATTCGGCACATGGGGCACAAAGCCCTGCTTACTTGTCACCACATCCCGGGACTGCTCTTGCACCTTGGCAGGGGTCGTGTCCAGCGTGTTGTTAACCTGTGTCCGGGGGGGCACAGCATACAGCTCATGTCCCTGCCCGCAGCCCAGGGCTGAGCAGCACAATCCCTCCGTCCCCAGACCCCAGTGGCACAGGATAGCCAGGCTTCCCACAGCACCCAGTCTACCACGCCAGTGCCCCGGGGGTGGTGGGGACTGCAGGAAGGCTCTGGCCGAGGCAGAACTCCGGCCAGCCCTTCCCTTCATGTGACAGCAATTAACTCCTGGCAGGGCTCTTCCCAAGCCATCCCCTCACAGCACAGCCCCAGCAGCGCCAGAAGCACCCAGCCCTGTGCCTGGGTGCGGGGAGGACCCCTTACCTCCTCTAAATCAGCCTCTATGTTGGAGCCAGACACATCACGCAGTGCCTCCAGCTGCTGCTCCACACCGGGGATCTGTGGGGAAGAGCCTGGTGTGAGGGGGCTGCGGAGGGCTAGGGAAGGGGCTGCAGGGGGCTCCTTGCCCCGCACCCTGCCCCTCCTCACCATGCTGAAGTTGGTGCTGAAGGCAAGGCCATCCAGGGACACGCTGTCGCAGGGGCGGCCGCAGCGCTGCAGGGTCTGGTTGAGGCCATCCCGCAGGCTGGCCAGCCGCTGGCTGTAGTTGCTCTGCAGCTCCTCGAGGCGTGAGCGAGTGCTGGCGATGCTGCTGAAGGCTGCCACCAGCATCTCCATCCCTGGGGAGACAGCGGGGGCTCGAGGCCTTATCCTGCCAGCGAGGCGGGGGCTTGTCCTCACCCAGCTGAGCCTCAGGGACCCATCCAAAAATGCAATGTAGGGGCATCCCCCCCGAAGTTCCACCATTTGCCCCAGGCTGGGGCTGGAGTGGCCTGATGGACCCCACTCCCTGGGGGCCTTACCCAAACCTGCTGGAGCCTCCCAGGCATGCATCTGCCCCAGTGTTCCCCTGAATCCCCTCCGAGGCCCTGCTGGCCCCCCAGGGATGGGACTGCTACCTTGCAAGAGGCTCTGGAGGGATCCCAGAGCCCCATCCGTGCTGCTCCTGATCTCGGAGACGATCATGCCGCCCAGGCTGGTCCCGATGTCTGTGGAGATGGGAGAGATGGTGTGGATGACAAGGACCCCCAGCAGCAGGACCAGGCTGCCCTGAGCAGCCCAGGGCTTGCAGGGGAGCTGCCGAAAACACTGAGCCCCCCCCAGTCAGGACCCCATCCCACACCCACCCTCCAGGCAAGGTGGGCGGGACCCCCCGACCAGGCTGCCCTGAGCAGCCCAGGGCTTGCAGGGGAGCTGCCGAAAACACTGAGCCCCCCCCAGTCAGGAGCCCCTCCCACCCCCACCCCCCACGCAAGGTGGGCAGAGGGGACCCCCCCCCAACCCTGCCAACACCTGCATCACCCTCCCAGAGAGGAGCCTGAATGGGGAAGAGCAGCAGCTGAAGCAGAGCGGGAGCCTGAAGGAGCCCCCAAACCCACTCCCTTTAGACATCCCCATGAGAACCAGCCCAGTGGCCCCCAGGGTCAGCAACCATCTGCAGCACCCCCAGCCACCTCCACTCCCCAAGCACCCCCAGGATGCCTCAGCCCCCACTCTGCTGCACACCCTCACCCTGGAGGCTGCGGTTGGCATGGCCCAGCGGGACGTTGCTGCTGTCGATGATAAAATTGATTTGCTGGAGGGACAGAGATGGGGTGTCAGTGTGGGTGGGGATCCTTCCCTGCCTTTAGCCCCACTGTCACCCTTCCCCAGGGGGGCTCTTTGTCCCCATTCAGGCACCCCAGCCAGGGTGGGGGGACCAGGCATGCCTGGGGGATGGAGGCCAGGTAGGTGTGGACGTTGTCCAGGGTGTCGTTGACGTTGGGGAAGGTGCCACACACAGCCTGGGAGAAGCGGGTGTTGCTGACAAAGGTGCAGACGTCGCCGGCCCTGCAAGGGAAGGGTGGCAGGGTCAGCACGCAGGGAGCTCGCTCCCAATGCTCCCCCCCAGGACCCTCTGAATCCATCCGCACCGACCCCAGGCTGCAGGGTCTGGAGCACGCCGCTGAGCCCCCCCTTCCAGAGCATCCCAGCAAGTGCCCTGCACACAGCCAAGGGACCAGAGAGGAGGGACATGGGAAACTGAGGCATGGGGGAGCCCGGTGCCTGGCATGCTTGCATTTCCCTGCAGCGAAGCTGTCAGGAAGGGTCTGCACCATGCCAACTCGTGGTCCCCCAGGGCCAGCTCCCCACCGCCGCCACTTCCTCTCCTTTGTCCCGCCGCGCCAGGATCTGCTCCTTTGAACAATGGCAGCTTCCTGGCACAGCCGCCAAGCACCGGCGTTTCCACCCGCCCTCAGGTCCCATCCGGAGCCTCCCAGCCAGCGCACTCACAGGAGGAGAGCAGAGACCAGCAGGACGGAGGCCCAGAGCGCCTGGCGCCGGCAGCCCATCCGCCGGCCCTGCTTCTGGTACATGCGACCCCCGCAGTTCCCACAGCAGCGGCAGCAGCAGAAGCAGCATCCCACCAGGGGCACGAGGATGATGAAGAGGAGCCCGATGGCCATGCAGACCAGGAAACCCAGTTCGTAGAGCAGCAGCTGGAAGAGGAAGAATGAGAGGTAGCATAACGCTGGTGCCCCTGAAGGCTCCCCATCTCTGAGGGTCCTGTCCAAATCCCCACGGGGCAGGATGGGTCCCCCCAGGGGGTTGCACATCTCCCCTTGCTGCTGCCCAGCACCCAGGGCTCAGCCTCCGAGCAGCACCTGCCAGCATCCCCCAGCCCGCTGCAGCCTGGGGCTGCCAGGTCTCTGCCCTGGCTGCTTGCTCACCTCCTGGACTTGCTCCCCGATGGCCTCCTCACTCGGGGGCTGCCCAAAATCTGCAATCAGTTCTGGGAGACAAGGAGCAGAGAGGTCCATGAGTGGGTTCTGGGCCCTGGGGGGTTCTTGAGGAGGGTCCCACACCCTGCTCACCCAAGAGAGGTGCTCCCAGACCATCACCTCCAGTGCTGCAGCTCAGAGCGGCTGTGAGTGCATGGCATGTTTCTCCCTTCCAGCAGTCCCTCCCCAGCCACCATGCCACACAGCCCTTTTGCAGCCAGGAAAAGCGCTGACAGCCCCCAGGCTCTCAGGGGTCCACAGAGCAATGGGGTCCTCGACCCAGCGAGCATCGGGGGCAGGCTCAGGGGAGGATGCTCCAACAACCACCTTGGCTGTCATTGGGCTACCCTCCTGCAGCCCAGCCCCAGGCAGACTCCCGGCTGGCACTGCCAGCATCGGATGGGTGCTGGGACAAAGTCTTCCTGCCATGCTGCCTCTTTCATCCCCAGGGCTTGCTCTGCCCATGCCCCATGGCCTCATTACAAGCCGTGCTGGCACACGGTGCCGTGTAATTGTACTCCGGTATCTGTGTGACACGAACAAGGCCACAAAGCCACCGTGTTGTTTGCCAGCCATGCATTTGCCTGCAAGTTGCTGACAAGCCGGGGTTGAGCCCAGCAAAGGAGGAAGCACAAGTGTCGACAGCCAGAGTGGCACACCCTCCCCCCCAAGTGGGCAGCACTCGCACCGCGGGCATCGAGAAGCTGCAGGGTCCTGGCATCACCCATGCCAACCTGCAGCCACTTCGGGGCAGAGCTGTGCCAGGGACACATCCCCTTGGAGGTGAAGGAGGGAGGGCAAGTGCTGGCAAGCAGGGTGGTGCATGGGGGGTGCCTGCAGCACTGCCGTGCGGGCGCTGGCACTGGGACACGCTGCCCTTGGTGGCCCTGAGCCGAGTCCTGCCTAAGCACACCTTGTCACCTGCAAGCACAGAGGGCTGCAAGCCAGGCAAGGACCCCACAAACTCGCAGGCAGCGCGGTGTTTGGTCTGCACCTTTTGTTGGGACCTGGGATGGCAATGCTCAGAGGGACAATGGGGCAGGACTCTGCGAGGTGGCACTGCCGCCAAAGCCTACCCTGGGGCCCACCTGGGACTGCCCCACAGCTGTGATGGGACACAGGCAGCACACAGCTGGAATCCTCAAGGACCCCGCTCCAGACCCCTCCTAACCCAGTACACTGGCATTTAAATGCTGGGTGGACAGTCACCAGAGCAGCAGGGCTCAGGCTCACCCAGGACCCCACAGCTCTGAGCAGCCCCCCCACCCCATCGCCAGTTCCCCGCTGCCGTGCACCCACCTATGGGCAGGGCATTGGGCTGCACCAGCCGCAGGAAGCCATGCACCATCCCCACCAGGCCCGGTGTGCTGCTCCCCGGCGCCTCGGGGCCGGGACCGTACACAGGCTGCGAGATGTTCCCCAGCTCCATCGCGGTGGCTCTGGCGGGCGCCTGGGCAGAGAGGGGCTGTCGGTGTCGTTGGGGCGCAGGACCACCCAGCCTGCCCTGCCTCCTGCCTCCGAGCAGGAAATGCGGGGAGAAAAAATCAGGCACCTGCCAGCTCCTGCCCGGAAGGAAAGAGCTGCCGGAGAGCACCAGGGAGGGATGGGGAGTTCCGGGAGCAGCAGGGTGGGGGGCCAGATGCCAGATGCCCACAAGGGACCAAGGGGGCTGTGGGGGATGAAACGGGGATGAAGCGCTTACCCTGTCCTCCGGCACCTCTGTGCGCCCACGGCTGCCGCAGGGCCCAGCCACGCAGTGCCAGCACCCGGGCTTTATGGTTTGTTTAAGTTTCAGCTCTGATTGCTGAAAAGTTGCTTGCCAGGGAAGGCGGTGATGCCGGGATTGCCCCACCCTGCCCCTGCCACCTCCTGGCACCCAGCCACCCCGGGTCGCCTCTCCATACCCGGGTCAGGGTCACCACCAACCCGTCCCAACCCAGGCACCGGGGAGAAACCCCTCTGCTTGCCCTCCGCAGAGCTCCTGTGCCCTTTCTGGTTTCCTCCTGTTCTGACCCAGGAGGCGGGTGACCCACGGTGATCCCAGGGTCAGCCATCCCGCCTGCTCCACACCAGCGCCAGCTGCATCCCTTTCGGATGAGGTGCACTGGGCCGGCCACAGTTTCGGCACAAACCAGCTCCGGCCACAGAAACAGGTTTTGTATTTAAAAAACCTTCCCAAACGGGGCATTGCAGCAAACCCGGCGTTTTCCACACGCACCCCGACCCCCCCCACGTTGGGCCAGCCTCAGGGGCCCCCAGACGGGATTTTTCCTCCACGGCTGGAGGTCTGCCAGCGCCTGCCCGGCTCCATCCCCCCCTCCCCGCCCGCCGA